TAATTCCTGTCCCCTGTGCGACTGGAAAGCGGCGTAACAGGAAGACAAGGAAGGATGAAACAAACTGAAACTCCCCTGACGGCCAAGCGCTTTTGAAGCTCCCAGAAACTGCCTTGAGGAGGTGTCACAAGCTGGAATGGTGCAGGGAGAAGACAAACAGTACACTGAGTCACATTTATTCCACCAAAAAAATCAATTATATAGATACTAAAAATAGCAGGGATGATTTATGATTAGCTTGGTTCTGTCTTAATATTTTTGCAGCATTATTATCACAGCTTTTATTTTCATCCATTACGTTCAATTTTTCACTTCACAATTCTGAGATTTTTGAAAGATAAAATTTCAACAATGTTCAGACATCTCTTCAGATAAGATTGTAAAAACTGAAACTTCACAACGAAGGAAGTTGTTGTTATGACAGAATCTTCTCGGTTTTAAAGGTCTACGATCGTGATCGTTATAACGCCGATCAATGTAGAAAATCCTCTTTCCTACATTGCCTAAAAGAAACCAAGCCTCTTAAAACTAGACTTTGCAAGTGACTGGAAGCTACGATCGATGCAATTAGTGAGTGGTAATCAATCGGATCACTGAGGCACTATAAGAGGGTCCACTTAGTGAAAAGAAATCACCAATATTGGCCTTTTCTACTCTAAAAACCCACCTAAAACTGCAGCAATTACCTAAAACTTTTGCTTTGGCCATTAAAGTATGCTGCAGTGATGGAAACAGAGGCGCTATGTAAGGCAAAATTTAACTCATCGTGTTTGTAGGGTGTCAGCCCCATTCTGCTTTTGGTCTTTTCTGGACCCAAAGGCAGACAGTCAATAAGAAGCTATTTAAATCAAGATCTAAATGAAGTTTTCAAACACAACAATGACAATTTCTTCTTTCAAGGTCTTAAGGAAGTTGGGTTTTGTTGTTTCAAATTTCTAATAGTAGGAACAAGATGCAGTAGATGCAGATTAGAGAAAAGTGAAGCTGTGTTTCTCTGGCTTTAATTTCATCGTCCAGGAATTGTGTTGGAGGTCAGGAAGGCGGAGACGAGGACTGCAGGCTGACCTAAGGCGAGGTCAGAGGTCAGACATCTGGGGAAGGGAGCCAGGAGTCCAGGTGAGCCCTGTGTGTGTGTGTGTGTGGGGTTTCGTGAAAGGATACTGATGGTGCGTGGAGGAGACCAAAGGTTGGACTTGAAAGCACAAATCCATAATGGAAAACGAATGTTTACATGCACCAAATAAAAAGGCAAGTACTATTTTTTCTAACTTTTTATTTAGGTTAAATCAGATGATCTTCTCAATTTGCCAAATTCCAGGATGCAAGAACATTTCAGAGGGTTTTTTTTTGTTTTGTTTTTGTAACTTTCTTTGAATTTAGATGTACATTTGGTCAATATCAAGGATATTATTTTGTCTTTTAAACTGTATAACTTTTGTTAGGTACCAGGTTGGGTTTTCTTCTTTTTCAGCTCTGACCATCTGAGGGCGCCAGAGGCTGTTTTTTTTCCCTTGGTGGGTGTGTCAGCAGGCTCCGCGGTACGCACCTGGCTCTAATCGTCATCTAGAGGAGTATTTAAGCGGCAGGCTCCCACTCTTCACCGCCAGAGTGTTTACCTATTGTGGTACCTCCAGCCTTCCTACAGTTCGTCTCATTGAGATTGTTTCTAGTTGCCTTAAGAGCTTACCTGTTGTTTTGTGACCTCTTCCAGGACTTCAAGTTTTCCCCGGAGAACTCCTGTTGTCTAGCCTAGAGGGAAGTCCCCTCACGACGCTGGGAGCGAGACTCACCGGGAACTGGAAACCCCCCACATCCCTCTGTTTAAGAGCCCACTGTGCGCCTCCGGCTGGAGTCCGCCCCGAAGACTCCTGGTCTCTCTCTCTCACACTCACGAGTCGTTTCCTTCCTCATCTCTCTCCGAGTCAGCCTCTACGCCTAGCCGCAACCTGGTACCGGAACCTTCCCCCAACCAGAACTCATTATCACAAGTAAGCTTCGAACCCATACAAGTTGCCTGATTTCCTACGGTCATTAAACTCACCTCCACTCTCCCCTGTGTGCAGCTGTGCCAGTCCTCCCACTGCAGCTTCTCGACTGTGGATGTTTGAACTTTATCTTTGTCAATAAACATCTAAATTTTCATTCAGCCTCTCTGTGAGTTTCTGCATGTGGGCTCAAAAACTAAAACCCAGCATGACAGAACACTCTGGCCAGACTGAGAGCCCAGCAGAAACCATTCGCAGAACTCTCCAACAACAGCAGGACTCTATTCAGAGCCATGAAGCGGCTCTCCAGGAACTGGGTAACCGTCAGGCGGAGACCAACCGTCAGCTAGCCGAACTAACCACTTTTCTTCGATCTCGCTTTCCACAGACCTCAGCCTCCTCGTCTACTCCTGATCCAGCCCAGGCGAATCCTGCAGCTCCTGAATCCGCCTCACAAGCTCCTGTCCAGTCCACTTTTTCTGACAGTCACCTGCCCAGCCCTCCCAGGTTTGATGGGGATCCCCAAAGATTTAGGGGGTTTATTATGCAGTGTAACATTCAATTTAATAACTCACCCCATAGATTTGCTCTTGATTCTACCAAGATCTCTTACATAGTTGCACATTTGTCAGACCGTGCCTTGGATTGGGCTGAAGTGAGGTTTTCTTCTTCCACTGACTTTAACTGCACATATGAAGAGTTCCTATCAGAGTTCAGACTAGCATTTAATCAAGACATTGATAAGGGCCTGAGCTCCCAAGATTTGTTAAAGATGAGACAAGGGCAAAGAGCTGTCGCAGATTTCTCTATCGATTTCCGCATCCAGGCGGCAGCTTCAGGTTGGAATAGCTCAGCCCTCAAGAGTGTGTACTTAAATGCACTAAACGACCAAATCAAGGATGAGCTGGCAACCTTAGACGAGCCTAAGACTTTGGAGGACTTGATTAAACTGTCCATTCGGCTAGATAACAGGATTCGAGCTCGAGCTAAGGAGAGGGGCAGCAGGAACCCACCAGTCAGAACCTTGTCAGTCCATAGCAGAGTTGCTCCAGCTGAGACTCCACCAAGTCTGTCTGAACCAGAACCCATGCAGATTGGGCTAACTAGGCTAACTCCAGAAGAGAGACAACGTAGGATGCGAGCCAGGCTCTGTCTCTATTGTGGTGAAGCAGGACATCTAATTGCACAATGCCCCACGCTGCTAAAAGCCAAGGTCCGCTAGAGAGAGCGAGGGAGCTAGCGGACCATCAACTTGTAACTGAGTCACCTCGCCTGTTGATTCCCGCCTCCCTTTTGATAAG